AAACAAGCCGTCATTTTGTTTACCTTGTGAGAGATGCATTGTTACGTAATCAGCACAGAGCAAAAAGCTAAACTTAACTTCTTTTTAAAACTCAGAAAAAGTGCCATTGAGACAGTTGAATTGATCCAACAAGTTTATAGGTCTAATTGTTTATCTCGTGCACAAATTTTCATGTGGTATTTACGATTCAAAAGTGGTGTAGAAATTATTACTAGTGCACCTAGACCTGGATGCCAAATTTCTGTTCGTAATGATGAACTCATTGCAAAAGTCAGAGAACGGATATAAAAATATCATTGTTTTACTGTTAAGATGATGGCAGATGTATCTGGCAGTAATAGAGAGACCATTTATAACATTTTAGTGCAAGATTTTGGCAAGACAAAAGTTGCTTGCCGGTTTGTACCACATTCATTGCTTGATGACCAAAAACATCAGCGGGTTGAGTACCCAAGAGACATCATCAAAACAAGAATTTTGGGCCCCAAAACAAGTGTGTGTTCTCAGCCTTCCTCCCTATTTCCCAGATTTGTCTCCCTGTGATTATTTTCTATTCCAAAAATTAAAGTATCGATTGAAAGGACACTACAGAGGTCATTCCAGTGTTTGTTAGATTGTGCTACTTGCTGTATTAATGCACAAGGGGCTTGCGATGAATAAAATACAGGTTATATCTTCAACTGTTGATTATTTTAATTTTTTTGGAATTAGCCTCATTACTTAATTGTTGGACCTTGTATTTTTGTTTAAATTTGGTACACACTGTCATGTCATATCATTAGACTTTTTTTTAAATCATATTTTGTCACAGCCAGCATTTGAATTTATTGGCCTCATCTCAGTGATCACCAATTGTGCCCTAATTGGAATGGATCCTGAGGTTAAAAAGCTTTTGCCTTCTGACCTCTCTCCTGTCAACATGGTGCTGTTGTTTGTTGCTGCTGAGGTAAAACTAAGAGAGTTTGTCTATCTGTTGTCAGTTGTCCTTTTCTCTTGTTTTATTTTACCATCCAGTTAGTTAATATTGCTTGTTATCCAGCACAGCAACACTTGTTTGTATATATTTATTTGTGGATGGTCACTACTATTATATTGGCCAAAAATGTCACATAATCATTTTCAGTCATTTTCATGACAAAAACTACTGAAGAAATTTTATATTGATTTGAGAATATGTTATTATTAAAGCTAAGGCTTAGCAGAGAGGTTTAGAGGGAAGTATGAACACTGGAAGCAATTTTGAAGAATGGGAACAGTAGTGAGTTGAGATGAAGAAATTACGAATGCCCAACAATCAGTGAAACTACTGAAGAAATTTTATATTGATTTGAGAATATGTTATTATTAAAGCTAAGGCTTAGCAGAGAGGTTTAGAGGGAAGTATGAACACTGGAAGCAATTTTGAAGAATGGGAACAGTAGTGAGTTGAGATGAAGAAATTACGAATGCCCAACAATCAGTGAAACCATTTGGTTAACTAATCATTAATATTATGTGATATAGTGTCAACATTATTTGCAGTACTAAAAATATAATATGCTAAGCAAAAATTTTGCAACTAAACAATCAACAAAGACTACTCATTATGGTAATAAGTTTAACTTATTTAAGTGATGAGCGATGCTATTAACTTCCTAAGATGCCATCAACAGTTACTTTTAGAAGTTAATGTTTTCTAACAAACTTCCCAGATACAGTGTTACCATTCGTACTGCTTGTGCCACAAGTAACAGCTGAAGAATGAAAGATTTAAATTCAGTTCTATGGAATCATTTGTAAAGGGTTTTTCCAGTTTACTTTGAGGGTGTGACGCCAGTGTCTTAGGACGTTATCATAAAAATAGTGTCTTTTGTCAGTGTGGCCTCAAATACCCTACATTCCAGATCCAGTTGAGAAACCGAGACAGCTGCCTCTTGATAATAAAGGTAAACAGAGTCTCTGGATAAACAGAGACAGCCTTAGATTGGCTCACGGAATAGAATAAGCTGACAATCACAGGAGGAGGAAAAGCATTTAGAGATCTAGATAAACTTATTGTCTGAACTTATTGTATGAAGATAAATTCTAGACTGCAGACTACCTTCCCTGATTCTCCCCTCCTGTAAAAATAAATGAGCTCTCGCTAGTTGCTTTAATTTGTCAAAGTTCTGCTTTCAAACTTTCACACTCACCTAGCTATGTAAAGTCACAACAAAGATTGAATGGTATTTATTGAGTATAAAATATAGAATTTAATAAAACATGTTCAAGCAAATCAGTTGCTATGATGGTTAAATGATGATGTTAATAATAAGCTATAATCAGTGAGTTTTTATTAGAGATTAATCAATGAGTAAGTTAGTGGTTGATGCTAAGATTATAACAAAATCTAAACACATGATTACAATTAAAAGAAACAACCCTGAGACAGTCCTCCATAGGAAACTCTTCCATATTCAGTTTGACTGTTGTCACTTTGATTGTAGGTTCACTCATTTAGGTCCAACAAACAGTGAGAACTCAGACTGTGTTGTTATGTGTAGTGTATACTTGCCATATCTCCTTCCTCTCTTGAACACACATACTTTCTTCCCTCTCTCACTGTGATGTCTTATTGTTTTGCATACATGTTTAACAGCTTAAGAGGATGCTGGCTGATCATAATAAGTGGCACTTTGTTATCTATCTTCGACTAGCAACAGCCTTATGATGTGTGTGACCTATAAAACCCAAAACCTTCCTACTACTGACACTGGGTGGTGTTAAATATACTAACAATTCAGTATATAAATAAAAGAATCATGTATAGAATCCAAATGCAAATAGAGAGAAATGGCATAGTGAAAACAATAAAAAAATTAAAACAAGGCAGCGGAATTTCACTAAGCAATATTGTTATGAGGGATAGTATAGAACTGGGATACGAAAATATCATATAACTAGGATGCAAATGTCAATATTCTGCCAACTCTAGGTGTCTCCAGGTCTGCAATCTTGCTCGTAAAAATAGTACAGGTGAAATTGCAGATCCCTGTGGTAGTCCTAATGCTATAATACATGGTTGAGAGGTCCATAAACCCAGGTGGACAGCTGCTATCCAGTTCACCAACCAAGGACAGATTCCCTTCTCCATAAGCGCTGTCATCAAGATACTGTATCTGACTCTGTTGTAAGCATCTTCTAAATCAAGTGCCGCTACAACCATTGATGTCTGTTCTGGAAACCCTCTCGAAGGTGTCAAAGGTAAAAGCGGCTGCATTCGACCATGTGTCCTTCCATGGCCAGTAATTTCCCAAACCTCCTGGAAGAAGATTTCTCTGTTTAAAAAATGTTTGTAGTTTGCCCACCACTGGCTTCTATATATGAAATGGGTCGCATCGGTCCCGAAGTTGCAGGTGGTGAGATCTTGTGGATATTTTGCCCAGGCGTGTTTTGGGAATGAGCAGGCAAATAGGTTGGCTAGACTGGTTCCACTTGGGTGTGTACTGCAACTGTATAAGGTAGAGGTGATCTCTCGCCTGTGGGATGGGGTAACAAGTAAAAATAGAAGATATTAAAAACCCGTAAATGGAGAGAATGTTGCAGCAGGGAGTGTCTGCTGACTCTGGACCCCACTGAGGCAGGGGGAGGGGGGGGGATATTAACCAGATGATATCATAAGGGTGGCGACTCTTCGTTGGCTGTTCAGGAGGCAGGCGGATCCACTATGGGCTTGTAATAATTACTCTTATGTAAATCTTTACCCAGATGAGCCCAATCAGCTCAAATCAATCTTTCCGTGTTTTTATTTTCTCTCTTTATGACTGCTTAGCTGACCGAAGTACTTGGCCAATCTTTCCTTGTTTTTTTTTCCTCTCTTTATGACTGCTTAACTGACTAAAGTGCTTGGCCAATCTTTCCCTGTTTTCCCCTTTCTATGACTGCTTTGCTGACCGAAGTACTTGGCCAATCTTTCCCTGTTTTTGTCCTCTCTATATGACTGCTTAGCTGACCAAAGTACTTGGCCAATCTTTTTGCCATCCACTGATAATCATTCAGAGTTAATCATGGAGGTGTTCTAGCCTTATGTAATTTAGGGAGCCCATCCAGTAAAGGAATTTGTGAGCCATATGTATCGAGCATTGTTTGTTTTTTAGTTGTCTAACTGTTGAATTTACCATTCATGAGTGATGAATTTCTGCTTTATTTTAGATTATTCTTTTATAATCTCACTGATACCAAGTTGTAGCCCAGTGGTGTAGTTTTCTGTATTTGTCTTGCGTGTCTCAGGTGGCTTGGGTGATCAATTTGTTTATCTTTTTGCAAATTTCAACTGCACCAATTATCCATCTTTTTCTTGGTCTTCACCTCACCTTTCTCCCAGGTGTTCTGCTGTTAAAAGTCTCGTATGCAGTTTGGTCTGGCTGCATTCTCATTAGACTGCTGAACCATTTCATTCTTTGTCAGTATAATCCAGACATGATCTTATTCCAACATTTTCTCTAATACTGGTATTCGTAACCCTATTTTTTCTTGTGTTGTTAGTAACATTACGAAGACAGTTCATTTCACATGTAGTTATTTTCTGTAGATAAACCACACTATTAAAATGGATTCATGACAGTCAAATAGTGCAAAGAGGATTGAAACTCTAAAAGACTAATTACATGGCTTGACCGTATAACAAGATTGTCACAAGACAGTACACACTGTACCAGTCACAAATGTCTTTTTGTTGTTTTAACTGAACAATAAAAGGCAAAACATAGATGAACAAAATTAGAAACGAGAAAGAGGGCAATGTTTTCTGTTTAGAATAATATTGCAGTGGCCATGTCTTAAAAGATTTGGGAAGTTGAAATCATTATTATGAGCGTGTGTGTGTGTGTGTGTATGTATATATATATATATATATATATATATATATATATATATATATATATATATATATATATATATATATATATGTGTGTGTGTGCATTTTAAATAAAATTGAATAACAGTGCACACAATATTATTGTAATTTGCTTTTTCTCTAACAGCATATTGTGCTCGCTGTTAAGGCCAGCGTTGCACTCTTAATCCCTGATATTCCAAGCTGGGTCACTTTACAAATGGCGAAACAAGAATTCTCTGCAAAACAGGCCTTGAGGAAGCAGGTAGATGAAAAAATTGAAACTATTCTGTTTACGATGATTGTTTGATGCACTCATTTAACAATATAGGCTGATTGTTTGGTGAAGTTAGAAAACAAAAGTTTAACAGTGTCTGCTGATTGTTAGATGCAGTCACAAAACATTTAACATTTCTTTGTGATTTCTCTTTTACTAAAAGTTTGTTTATAATGAGCATGCACATTCCTACTGTCTTTGTTCATTGAAATTTGTTAATGATGTGTTTACTTAAGTTAATTAATTAATATGTTTTAAACAGAAATTACACACACACAGATTATATAATGCCTTTACAATAATGTCAACAAGGTTGCAAAGACTTACTCCGAATAGATGATTGTGTCTGTCGTTTGTCAATATGGAATTCTCATACTTGCTATACAGTACATGCAACTGAACTCAGAACCTTTTCACTTGCTCCATGTTGATGAACAACACACAAAGAGCAAATGGTGTAGAAGACGCAGACCACAGCACAACAGTAACAAAAAAGGCAGGAGTGCCAGCATCAGGAGGTCACTACCGAAGTCAGAAAGAATAGGTTGGAAGAATGTCCCTAGACAAACCAGTATCTATATAAATATATATGGGTATTATCACCCAAGCGTTTTTATATATATATATATATATATATATATATATATATATATATATATATATATATATATATATATATATATATATATATATATATATATATATATATATATATATATATATATATATATATATATATATATATATGTATTGCTTATGTGGATGCCCAGCAGGACATACGCTTGGGTGATAATACCCTCAGACACAGGTTTTCATATATTTTTGTTTAACACCAGACTACACCAGAAGTAGGCTATCCTCATCAGAAAAAAGACTGAACCACTTTAAGTCAACATATCCGGTTGGCAGGATGCCAGTTTTCAATTTGGGCTTTCATCCCTGCCATTTAAAGTTAGAAAAAGAATTCTTGCATGTTGAAAGAATTAGTTGTGACATTTGGCTTTTAATCCTAGACAACCCAGAAATAATTCCTCGAGGCTTCAGAGATGTGATTGTACCTAAAATTTGTTGGACTGCTAAAATGTGCAATCTAAATTTTTTGAACAAGGCTAGAACAACTTAGAAAAGGGCAGTCATAATTTCTTTACCGCACCATGTGAAGATTAAAACTGGTGCATTTTAATAGCTAGACAGATTGGTAAAAACAGGGATCGAGAAATTAAGTGAGAAGATTCTTGACAGCCTTTTGTCATGAAAAATATGTCAGCACATGAACTGATACGTGCTGTTGGAAATAAGGTATTATTATTTATACCAGCTGGCAAAGCTCTCAGTTTTGATGATGACATCTTATTATTCTGATGGGACATATCAACAACAAAAAGTGGAACAGTGAAATTAACATTATGGGGGAAAATATAAGACTAAAGAGAAACATATATGTGGAAAATACTCAAGCAACAAATGATAATGACAGAAAGTCTGATGAAACATAATAACCATAATTTCTGCTCTGGACAAGGCACCTAAAGAAGATTATTGTGAATTTCCTTATTTCTTTTAGTTATTTTATTATGATTTATTGTGTACTGCTATTGTTCCATTTCATTTCTGACTGTTTTATTCTTAGTTTTTTTTTTCCGTTCTTTCTGTTTTGAAAATGATCCTACTAGATGCTGCCTTTCATTTTGTTTATTTTTGCAGATGAGAGAAGAAAGTAGATATGCAAAGTTCAAGTTTATTGATGTTAGTTTTGCTTTCTTTAATCGAAAAAAGTGCACTATTCTCATTACTTTGATATTTATTCATCTTCTAACCACAATTTGATGAGTGATGGTGCACATTTTGTTTTCATTTATTATATATCACTCCCCATTTTCATAACCCATACTGGCATATGAAGATACAACATATATTACAAAAGGTACACACCATGAATATGTTCATTTAGTTCATGGTCTGAAGCAGAAATTAATGATCACATTTCTCCAGTCCTGACTGTTACCTGATATTTTAATTAACTTTGTGTTTGTTTTTATGTGTTCCTTCATGTTAAAGCTCAGCTTTCCACATGGATATTTTTCTAGTATCCTCTGTTTCTCTTATCTAGCTCTTTCCTAAATAAGGCTGCTTTCTCTATTCATCTTCTTCTGTTGATAGGCCTCATAAATTTTGTTTGTCTTTTTCTTATAGTTATGATGATTGACCATTTCGCACCTGCAGTTCTGAAAACCTGAGCTTGCATTTTATTTTCTGATCACAGTATTCTCAACATTCTTCTCAAAATCCAAATCCCCATTGCTCACAACTTCTTTAATTTCATTTAGTTTAGTCACACTTTTTATATTACATGAAAAAATGGAAAGGGGGTGGTGTGTGAAAAGTATTGAGAAATGAAGACAGTCACCTAAAATTGTGAACTTGACTCCTTTTCAAAGAATTCATGTTCAAAGTAATCACTTTTCCCATCTCTTTATTGCCTTTTTTGATGCCTTGATTTTAGAACCCTGTCTTGTACAGATAATTTCCTGTTCAGTAATTAAATCCTGGTCATTTGAAGGAAAAAACCTCACTGGGTGGCACTGATTGACTTCTTCCTGTTTCCAAGCATGAGGAGTCCATTTCATAGACATACAATTTTTTTTTTCAATTAAACAGGACATCATTAAGAATCCATTTTGTGGACATAATTTTCAATCAACCAGGATTTCATTACTGAACATGAGTTTTGGTTCCGGACCCAAATGGAGTTCTGCAAACAGGCATCAGAGATGAGGGATGTGCATCACCTTGAGTGGGAATCATGCAGAGAACAACTAAAGTATTTTTTAGGTACCTTGACTCCTTTATATCAAATGGTCAATTTTCGACTGCCCCTCGTTTATAAGCTTTGGGAAGGACTTCCTCTGTAAACTAGATAGTGGAGTGCTTTTTCATCCATTAGGATAAAAGCTGTCGTTTCTCCACATAAAGCCATTCAACCAGGGCACTATGACAGTGTCATTGATTTTCCTGTAGTATCACCCACAACAGCCCCAGTTTGTTGATGGAATACACGGGGATACTATTACAGCCATCCCTGCATTGCTTGTGTTTTCTTGGTCGAGAAGAGGACGAATAGCAGCAATAAATGCTTTCCACTTTGAAACGCTTGCGTCACTGCCATCACCTCCATCGTCATGTTGCTGGTTGTCATGGAGAAGGCGCCATTGGCTACCTTCACTTTTCTGTCCGCTGAGCGTGCTGTGAATGCCCATGCACTTCTTTTTTGGTGCATAACGGATCCGTCTGTGTAGATTAGTGCATCTGCTTCGTCTGAATTTTAACTGATGTGGGCGTTGACCTCTGCATTAACAGCAACAGGATTCTCTTCTCTACATCGCCAGTTGAGTGTGGCAATACAGGAAAATGTACAAATAAACGCATGAGGCACAGGTATCAACTCTGCACCACGTATGATGTCGGTTAAGCTGCATATTTGCCTAAGAACATCTTCTGCCCGACCTAGCCACGATTTTCCCCTCTTCAGTCTGTCGCCCTTTTCACTAAAAAGCGCTTGATGCAGTGGGTGTTTCTTGTCAGCACATATTTTAAGGTATGCCTGAGCCCTCCACATCCTGATCCTTTGGTTCATTGTTGGAAAGTCAAGTAGATACCTTGTTGCTCCACAGGATGTGTCTCTTGTACATCCCAAAATAATGTGCATAGCTTCATTTTGCACTTTTCTGGGTAGCACTGACAGTGAGGATGGCCAGAGCGTATTCAACGGGGGAAAGGACCAGACCGTAGAATAGAAGTATTTGTAGTCTTAGCTCTATATTGGAAGCAGCCATAATCCTCATTGCAGATAGACCTTTGCATGCTTTTGTTATCACATGGTCAACGTGTTCCCTGAATGACAAGCTGCAATCGAACCTCACCCCGAGAAATGTCATAATGCTGGTTCTGGTCAATACATTATCACGCATTTTCACTTCTGGTAAGTCCGACTTGACAATGTGATTGTTCAGAGAGAACCATGACACTGATGCCTTCGAAAGATTGACATAGGCATTGGAACCATCACACCAGGCGGCAATTCGATCGAGTTCTTTGTGCATTATGCTGGCGATCTCCTGCCTATCACGCCCTCGTCGATAAATCAAAATGTCATGAGCAAATGACAAGTCCTTCCCTTTCCATTCAACTGCTGCTCAGTGATCATCACTGTATACACATTGAATAAGACTGGTGATAGCTGTGATCCATGTAGCAAGCCTGGACATATCGTTTGCGGTTCTGAGGACCAGCTACCATATCTGAGTACTTTCTTTCTCTGGAACAGGACCGCAGCAATCCAGTGGATCAGAATAGGATTTACTTCTAGTTTAAGCAGTAATTGCATTAAATATTCATATAGTACTTTATTGTAGGCATCTTCTAAGTCCAACACTGCCGCACATGTCTCTTCTTTAATCTGGAATCCCTCATAAACATCGTAGGCGAAAACTGCAGCATTGAACCATGTCTCTTTATTCAATCTGTACCCTCCAAGTGTTTCCCCCTTTATCCAAGAAGGCTTCTGTAAATACACAGCAGACGGATGACACCAGGCTCTGGTCCTGCGGGTACCCAAGGAATTTTCACGTTGTGACTACTTAACCTCACATCTGTATTTTGAGCTTCTCATCTCAGGCTGCAGCCTCTGGAGATCACCAGGGAGCAGATCGCACGTCCTGAACTTTGATGACCACACAAATGGGCACAGTCTGATTTTCAACATTTTAGACACCTCTAACGTTCCTGCATCGGGACAGGACACTTAACATGACAAGTATGCATCAGAGATGGCTTCTCTGATTGGTCTCGGCACTCTATTTGAATCTTGTCTGTCAGTCAGTAGGACATTTGCAGGTCTAAATTTTGGTCTCAATACTCAGTCAGGTAGGATCAATAGTAGTGGACCTCTGAACGTTGTCTGTCAGACATCGAGATATTTGATTTTCATACATCTGTTGCTGTTTTGCTATAGGGCCAAACTGTGAGATACAACCAGCAGGAGATATTGCTCATCTAGGCTGAGAGCTAATTACTGGTCTAGGGCTTAGTCTCAGCAGTTTGCAATGATGTAGGTGATCAGCTGATTACGACACCCTGAGAGCTTATTGATGGACATTGAGCCTAATCAGCAATTTAGTAGGACTTTTTTTTCAACTGATGTTTGAATCAACTCTTGTCTTGTGTATAATATTTAGCCAGCGGGCTTCAATCATGTTTAGAATGAGTTTTTGATGGACATTATTACCCGTACATTGGGGGTGGACTAATGAGAGCAAGAGGAATTCTGGACACTGCATTTCTGGGGGCCACCAACACTGAGGTCCCCTGCCAGCTTGGTTCAGGCTGATGGCCATTATCAGTAGTGCATGATGAAGATGTGAGGCAGCAGTCTTTCATGAGGATCTGTAAAACTAGCACAGAGCCTTTTGGTGCATCAAATGACGTACGGAGTATCTCTTTATACACATCACAGCAGCGTTAACTTTCCCTCACACCTGTGACCAAAATCACTGCACTGCGAGCTCCTGACTAATCTGAGGGATAAAGTTAACAAGATTTTGATGTCTTTCCATTGGTGGTGGTCAAGAATGAGAAATGGGACTGTTACTGTCAGAAGGTGTGCTCTGAAAGGGACCATGCAACATTTTGGAGACTTCTTCAGGTGATGATTCTCTTCTGTCCCACTCACAGAAACAGATGCAAGATAAATTAAATATAATTAATGTGAGGTCACAACAGCCAGGTCTGAACATCTATAAGGGAAAGACAAAGATAATGAGAATAAATCAGGCAAATAGTAATGTGGTTACTCTTAATGGCATCCCACTCCAAGATGTGGAGTTGTACATCTATTAGGGCAATAATGTAGATAAAGATGGGGAGACTGATAGAAATTTTAAAATGCAAGTACAAAAGGCAAGAGGAGCTTTCATAGCACTAGGGAATTTGTGGAGGTCAAAAGAAATCAAAACTATTATTGGACTTAAAATATTTATTCTAATGTAAAATCAGTACTGTTCTTTATATAAATGACCTGGTGAAAGACCTCCCTACAGGAGTAAAAGCTGCCCTGTATGCAGATGATCTGGCACTCTGGTGTACTGATGAACACACTGCAGTGGCAAATCTGAGAATACAGCGAGCAGCAGATCTCTTGATGACATGGGCAAAAAAGTGGCATGTTGCCATCAACACAGACAAAACATCCACAACACTTTTCTCCCTTTCCCCAAGGGACAAAGCTGCTAGTATTCACCTAGGAACATCCTTGCTAAAGGAAGAAAGCTTCCCCACTTATCTTCGATTGACATTTGATAAAAGGCTCACATGAAGCAAACATATAGAAAATGCAGAAGGGAAGGCCAGGAGACGACTAGGTCTACTTAGGAAACTGGCAGGTAAAGGATGGGTAGCGAATGAAAAAACCCTAAAGAAAGTTTATAACGGAGCAATAAGACCCCACTTGGAGTTTGTTGCAACAGCATGGTCAACAGCTGCTAATTCCCATCTACAATTGTTAGACAGAGTGCAAAATCAAGCCCTTAGACTCATCACAGGATCCATGAAAACTGCACCAATCCTGGAGATGCAGAAAATAACTGCAATGCAAACATTGTCCTATAGAAGGGACAGCAAAACTATGATCCAGATGGAGAAGTATAATAGTATGCTGTCACACCCAATGAATGAAAGGTTACATGATCTGGCATTGGGGTGTCTCAAACGTAGCAGCTTTGTCCACTGGAGAAAAGACTTAGAAGACTGTATCAAGCAGATCCACCTATTAGAACAACACCGCTGAAACCTACCCTATACCCTGAACCTTGGGAGCAAGTCAGTGATACAATACAGATAATGACTTCAGTCAATGGATTCACAACTGGAGATGAGTTTATGACCTTCAAAAACGAACAGCTGCCCTTAGCATGATTCAGGAAAACTATCCTGAACAGTCGTGGATACATGTTTACACCGATGGATCAGCAACCAGTGCGGTTAAAAATGGGGGTGCAGGAGTCTTTATTACATACCTAGGCAACCACCGCCACACAAAGTGTAAACCCACTGGTAAATTCTGTTCCAACTACACAACAGAGATCCTAGCACTAGAGCAGGCTGCCGAAATGTTACATAACACCAGTTCTGATGCACTATCCGTACTTCCATTCCTCAAGAGTGGCAAACTTCCTCACTTGAGATTTGAACTTGGCAAAGTGTACTGTACTCCATTGGGTGCCATCCCACTGTGATATACCAGGAAATGAAACCGCAGATAAACTTGCTAAGAAAGGGGTAGAATGTGACCAGGAAGAGAATGTAATAACATACTATGAGAAGAAAAGGGCCATCCAGGCTATAAGAAAGCAACAGAGTCTGGCCAGAGATGACTACCACTTACTTGACAGGCATGGGCAGGTCATTATCCTATGTCTCAGGACATTACATAACAAACTTAACCAGCATATGCACAGGCTTCGTCTAAGTAGTTCACCCTTGTACCCTTGTGGGCTATGTGTGCAGACTACAGAACATATCCTGCAAGAATGTCCCTTGTTCAGCCAATAAAGAAGAGAATACTGGCCCAGAGAGTCACCGCTGCACACAAAGGTGTTTGGGACTAAAAAGGAACTCATAAAGCAGTCAAGTGTATCACAAAAACCTGTCTGTCGGTGTAAATCAGAAAGTGAACACAAGAAGAAGAACTTGGAGTGAGTTGGTTGAGGGCCTATGCTCCATTAGGGGTTAGAAAGGCAGAAGAAGAAGTCAGGTATCCCAGACATTCAGAGCACAGATCTGACACAGCAGAAACTGGATGTGGATAAAGGACTGGACTTCTTTTATTGTATGTAGAGCAGACTGACCAGAAAGATGAGGCAGCCAGATTGAGAATTGAGATGACACTGTCAGAGTTGTGTGAGAAGGCAGAGCTGATTGATGATTATCTTATTATGACTGAGACCAAGAAATCACCTGTCACTTACCCAGGCAAGAGGGTTCATAATAACCCAGAGTTGTCAGGTCAGAGAGGAGTGGCTACCTAGCTATTTACTTTCGCTGCCATTACTTTTTTGCCACACAAAGATCATTCAAAAATCAGTGGCTACAGAATTATTACTATGCTCAATAATCCTAGTGATAATATGTTAAGTAGAATAGTTGATCTTATTTGCATGTCTTTAAGCACGGTTGACCCTCTTCGACAACACAATGCAATCATTTGTTTCCATATTCTCTATAAGCTTTTAAACAAAAAATGGTACAGCTGTTTTCTCATTTGCTAAGTGGAAACGTTTTATTGATGATTTTTTTGCTTTGCTATTTTTACTTTGCATTTTTTAATAAATTTTTAACTAATTTTTCCAATGCAACAAAGAAGGAAATATAAGGTAAATTTATTTGTGACTGGTTTAAATATCTGTGGGTTATTTTGCCAGAAATTACGGATTAAAATGTTTTGACATGTTATGTTTAAATAAATAAAACTAAGTGCTGCATCTGTACCAATATTGACATCACCATTTTTTTTTAAATAAAAAATAAATTAAAATATTTCTTAAAATGATTATTTTGTCTTAAAACATGCAACTTCCATGACATAATTTCATTTACATTTGTGTCTTTGTTTTTTAGATCTTTACAGGGCGAAGGGTTAAAGAATGCACATTTGTAAAAACATATAAAATGTCCTGCTTCTACCCTATATGTTTGCTTCTACCCATACATGCAGTTTTTTTTTTTTTTTTTAATTATTCACTTTTAAAGATGATAAAATGTTGTAGGTGTAAGCCTGATTTATAAAGCCATTTAGTTTGTTATTGTTATTTTTGTTTCTTAGCTATGGTTATATTTTATTATTGAAACAATTAAATTATTAGAACTGTATTTAATAGCATAGTAGGTGACTGTTTTTAAACTCCACATAATATTATATCTTTATGTATGAGAAGTCCAGTTTAATATGTTTTGATATAATAACGAGCATGAAACTCTGTTAGCTATTGCTTGGTGCTTACATCTGAAGAAGATCAAGTCCTAGAACTATAGAAAAAAAAATGGACTGATTCTATCAAAGATAGGCTACTGACTGTAGCTCAAAACAAAGACTAAGCAAACAAAGACATGTTGAGATCCTGATTTTCCTAACTTGACAATGAAGACCCTAATAAAAAGCAAAAAGACAAAATTGTGCTATAGTTACTCAAATTATCAAGCAGCAAGGACTTTGGTTGTCAGTTTGACCCAACCTCGAGTGGGTACCAGGTACAGTCCTGGAAAGTAAAGGTGGATAATGATCACATCACCCACCCAGTGCCGATTGATCTACAAAATATAGGTCTAGCCCTATATGCCCAATTCGCCTGAAGGCGTGGAAAAGGATCCTTTACTTTTCCTTTCCTATACCACTTATAAGATCGACAAAGCTTTGAGTGGGTCCTAGGTGCAGTCCTGGGAAGTAAAGGCGACCAGCGTGATGCTGACCACATCATGCACCAAGTGCAGACTGGTCTGTAGAAATACAGGTCTAGTCCTAAATTCTCAATACACTTAAAAGCCTGGGAAAGGGACCTTTATATAATAATACCACTTCTAACAACAGGAACCTGCTTACATCTAAATTCATTAAATATATTAAACATATTTGTCTTCAAGAGTTTTGCATCATTCTGTCAATTTTATTTAATCTTCTCTGTCTGGTTTAAGTTATTTACCAGAGTCTACAAGAGATACACACTGTTAGTCTTGGTAAATCCATGGAGTTTCATCTGCGATATAGTGTTAATGTAAACTCTTAACTGAGATTTGCTTATGTATTTTTCTCCCCAGAGAATTATGGAAGCTGCACAGAAGAAAAAAGTTCTAATGGAAGCTTTCAAAAGCAGGTCTACAGGGAAATGCAATGTAGACAGTTTGGCAGAACACAAGGGACAGTAACCATAAAATCAAGACCCTAAGTGCTCTGTTATATGCAACCTGTACAAAATTAATTAATTTTTGTTGTTAAATGCACCACATAGTTACTATTTATATAATTATTTCAAATGTACAACATAATCTTTCCTCTAATACATCATAATAAAGTAAAACTGTCATGTGCTGTAAGTGTAGAAAATGTCAAATATCTCACCAAGTGAGCATTGACATTACAGCAAGAGGTTTAACAGGATTGTAACCTCATAAATAAACATTGAATTTCAGTGTTATGGCTAGAAGCTTATTATTATATCTCTCTCTCTCTTTTTTTTTTTTTTTTAAATACATTACCAATTTACCATTTACATTGATTTTTATTTAGAGAATCTGGGTTTTCACACAGACAAAGCAGCTGTAAGAATTGACAAATAAATATGAGCTTTTTTCAACACATTAAAGAGGATGTTAGACAGGACTGTGCACTGTAACTCAGTCTGTTCACTTTGTCAGGTGGGAAAATAATTGGGTCAAAACCAGAAATGCCAGGAAAACAGCTAGTGGGAATAATATAAATAAACTTCATTATGCTTATCATGCGACTTTGTTCACAAAAATGAAGTGCACTTGTAAGAAATGGGTTTAAAGGTTTAATAATAGATCAACATCATGGCACAAGGGTGGTAACCCATAAGTGCTCTGCTCTACTTCTAACTCAAGTCTGAAGAATCTCTGCGCAGTGCACGAACTCTGTGATCAATATTCAATTTTTTTTTTTATTAGGCTGTTGATAAAACTTTGTTCATGTTATTATAAAATGGTTGGGTAAAATGTATACTTAGGTTCAAGTATCTTTGTGCAAACTAGTTTTCCTCAGCTCACTTATATGTAAATCACTGCATGGGAGCTTTTGTTATAAATAATTACCAGGAATGGAGAAAGTTGGAGGGGTTAACTGTGTATCTTGGTATTCTCATCTTGAATTACTCTTGATCTCTAACTACCATTTTCCTACTCCTGTGAACAGCTACTTTCATTTTATTGTAAAAGCCACTTTAACTGTTTTCTTGGTTATCCAGGACTTTGTCTGGAATCAACATAGCTCAGGCATGAGTCCAATTTCTCATGTGTGTATGCAGTATCAGGATTCAAACCCACACACTGACTATATAAGTAGAAATTCTCAAGTGGGTTGGCAACAGCATGGTATTATTAGGAAGTTTCAAAAATAGCACAAAGACTGTAATTCTTATGATAACTATGCTTGATTTAAAAGAAAAAAGAAAACATGCACACGTACACCATGTTCACTAGCCTTCATTCAAATATTCATTGTACCCTAGCTATATTTTTGTATGTGTCTCTCTGAATTATGTCTAGTGGATGATGCAATATTATAAATAGGTTTTTGACAAAATATGTGTTTTTAACCTTTATTGGGATGTAAGAGCTTGTATTTTCAAGTTGCATTTAAGCTTTTTATATTAAATTAGCATTTGTTTGATAGTGTATATGGTCTTCCTATGTGTGCCATCCACTGATTTTTGTTTATAAAAATTGTCCAGTATTTCAAACAAAATATCATATTAACTATTGATGGTTTTTAATTGAATCTCAGCTTATGAATCTATAACCTACAGTGTTTAGTAGTATGACAATACACTCTGTAGAATTAGTGACCCTAAAAGACTAAAAACAGTGGCTTTTTTGTGTACCTTTTGTTTCAAGACCTGGCATTGCTGAATACAGTTTGGGAACATTAAAATGGATGTGCAGTATTAGTAATGGAGCTTATACAGGTAATAAGGAAGATACTTGGATACAAACAGGACGCTTTCCCCATAATCATACAATACAAGCTTAGTTCGCTTTAAAAAAAAATTAAATTAGGCACATTTTTCTCAGATCAGAGCATATATGAAATATTTTGTAAACATTGTTAACTCATTCACTACCAAGAAACACACCATATGTGTGTTGGTTTCTGCTTGTCTAATGCCTTGTGCCAAATCCAGTTGTTGCATTAACTCACTCTGTCCCAGTTGTCACTTTAACTTCTTCTGTCTGATAGTGTTATTTAAAAACCTTTAGAATCAGACATTTATTAGTTTGACTCTTTCCGGACATATTACCGTTTAAGTGGCATGTTCAGACATATCGCCATTTAGTGGTTGCAGATAAAAGCACGCTAATATTGTTTTGTTTGCCAGGAAAATTAACCCATATGAACCTGTTTTAGAAAGCTGGGGTTTACGAAATGAAGTATTTCTGTTGTCAAAGCATGTGGGAACAAGAGGATTCATTTTGGAGTTGTTTTACAGGGCGATACAATTTATTGTGGGTTTTTTTGTGTGTGGTTGTTCTGATATTTGACTTGTCACAAAAAATTTTTAAATAAAATCTAAATTTTTAGAATAAGTGTCTCAAATAAAGACTAGCTGATGTATAACAGGAATAGAAGAGGTATGTGAATTCTTAGAATGGATAGCAGTGTTCACTGATGCTGATGAAGTAAAAAAACTAAGTTGAGTACAAAACTGCATGTGTGTCTAACATCCTGAAATGTGGGTGTTATTTTAATACTGATCCTTAAATAGTTAAGATAAAAGTTTTTATTCATTTCCCTTTTATTTGGTATGTTATATGTCATGGCATATTATATATTTTATTTTTTCAGGAAGGCTTTGTCGTTACCGTAAAAAGAAAATATTTAGCTCTAAATTTGTTCTAAACAAACCCCAGAAAAAAATTCCACCCTGAAAGAGTACGCAACAATTTCTTAATAAACTGTGAATCAAAGTAACACATGCTGGTACTGAAATAATTTTTCTTCAAAACAGAATTATTGTTTGTATTATTTACTGGACATAAATTTGTGTGTACAAATGTTTAAGGAAAATCTTTTTTTGTGTGTGGTGAGGACTGAGAACAAACTGAGACAGCAGTATGCAGACTAAACAATATTAAAAACACCTTGACCTAATTCTTCTTCTTCTGACTTTCTAACCACCAGTAAAGCATAGACCCTCAACACACTCACATCAAGTCATTTGATCCTTTGCTGTCGCATACAGCTCTCCTCATGTCCTCCCCATCTTTTTAACTTTGTTCTCTTCCTCCCTTCTCCAGTCTTGCTTTATTTCTATGCCCTGTGGGTTCCAGTGCAAAGGCATTCTTGTTATATTGTTCTCCGGTTTTCTCAGTGTGTGCCTAATCCAAACGCCTGTGTATTTTCTTCACCTCTTGATTCACTGGAACTTGTTTAGTTCTCTCCCAAAGCTCTGCATTAATGATTCTATCATACTATTTAATTCCCTCTGTTCTATGCAGGCACCAGTTAATGAATGTTTGTAGTTTATCATTAACTGCGTTAGTTGTTCTCCATGTTTACGCTCCGTACAACTGTACTGATTTGACATACAAATTTGTTTTTAAAAAATCTCTTGGCAGTCGGATTGAGGTTTTTGAACAACGGATCAACATCATAGCACGGGTAGTAACCCATAAGTGCTCCGTTCTTTTTCTAACTCAAGTCTGAATCTGAAGAAGCTCAGCACAGTGCACAGGCTCTGTAGCACTGGCGAGGATCCTGAAAAACTTTGGGTTGATTTTTTACTCAAAATTTTGCCTGGGCAGCGCCGTTAGGCTACTCCTTTTGATTTCCAACTGCCAGGGGATTTTTTTGCGCACACAACAATGCACACGGGCGTCCGATCTCACTACCAAGAAACCGGGGGAATTACTAGAAGTTCAAGTCCACGTGAAAAAATCCCAACCCCTACCAGGGATTGAATCCGGAACCTATAGCACTCAAGGCAGACACTGTGCCTTGAGACCACCCAGCCCCCTTTGGCAGTTGGAAATCAAAAAGAGTAGCCTAACAACGCTGCCAGGGCAAAATTTTCAATTAAGAATCTACCCAAAGTAGTTTCATGATCCTCAATGGTGCTAGGAGTTCGAGCACTATGCCGAGATTCTTCAGTGAATTCCAGAGAAATTTGACTAAAAAGCTCAACAAAATGGGAAAAAGGAAAACGTGCACAAAACAACACAACGTAACGTTTCGGCCAGGCAGCCTTTTTCAAACACAAGTGGACTACACAAAAGAGGAATGGAGAGTTAGTTCCTCTCCATTCCTCTTTTGTGTAGTCCACTTGTGTTTGAAAAAGGCTGCCTGGCCGAAACGTTACGTTGTGTTGTTTTGTGCACGTTTTCCTTTTTCCCATTTTGTTGAGCTTTTTAGTCAAATTTCTCTGGAATTCATTGTATTAGCTTGACTGCAGTCACCCCCATAGTTTCACCATTTTCGAGATTCTTCAGACTCAGGCTTGAGTTAGAAGTAGAATGCAGCATTTTTTTTGTTACTACCCTTGTGCAATGATGTTGGATCTTTTGTATAAACCATGTATAAACAATCCTAGTGCTATGAGAGCTCCTCTTGCCTTTTGTATTCGTATTTTAATAACTCTATCAGTTCCCCTATCTTTATCGACATGTCTCATAAGCACAAATATTCAAACCTAATGTTATGTGAATATATTAATCCTTGGTATTCAACTAGATGTTGACATAATCTTTTCTTGTGTGGTGTGTTTTTCAACCTATGCTTCCCCCCCCCCCTTCCCAGGGAGGGGGGGGGGTGTTATGGTAGAATGTATTCTTTTGTAGAATTTCTAACTAAAAATAGCACATTTATTGGATATCAGTGCATTCATATATATTATTTTGACAATAGTACATCTAAAGGATCAATTTACACATCAGTTAAATCAGTAGTTGTAAAATATTCTACAAATATGACATGATATCTAATAGGTGATTATCTGTTCCCTTGATATGTTCAATGTTGAATTTAAACTGTGAGATTAATGAAGATCACCTCTATATTACAATGGATTAGTATTAGCATCAATTGTCAATAGTTTTGTTAATCCCAAGTTATCTATCAAAATGGTATATTCTTTTCCCAATAAAAATTTGTGAATTTTTTTTAAAACTGATAAATAATGCTAAGTGTTTCTCAT